GTGCCTTGGCCCTGCTGGAGCTGTGGTTGGCAGGTTACCTGCTCTGCTCTGCAGTTCAGAGACAGCACTGGAGGCTGACAATGGAGCGCATCCCTCACCACAATCTGCTGGTCACCGCTCCTCAGCCAAACCAACCTGGCTCCTTGGCATTTACTTCTCCAGCGCACCAGCCCCAGGGCCACCCTCCCACAGTGGGGCTGGCCATTCCTCAAGGAGCCAGAAGGGGGTGCTACTGCTTTTCTTCTAGTCCCAAAAAACTGAGCTCATCTTCCCCCCACCCCCCCCAACTATTCCTCAGACCCCCTCCATTGGGGATGCTGCTGGCCAGTTTCCATCTCTGTTATCACAGGGCCTATCCAGCCAGCCATCAGAGCAGTCTCAACTCATCGGGGCCACAGGCCCACCGTGGGCTGGTGGTTAAGACTAGGGAGGCCACATGGCTCTGGGCAAGGAGAGCTTTCACTCAGCTCACAAGCAGCTCTTAGCCAGGGGGCGCCGCACATCAAATTTCTAGGCAGCACCAACAATCTTTCCCTTCACTCATGGGGTCACAATGTCACGCATTGAAGTCTGGCCCAGCCATCCCTGTCTGACAGAGCGGCATCCGGGCCCAATTTCAGTGCGTGTTGTGATGGGGCATACGGGGTCTTCAATGCTGAAACTGAGAAATACTGCCCTGAACACTGGGTGGATATTAAGGGACATGCTTTTAAAAGGTTTTCTAGCCTTTGCACAGTTGGACAGCAGATCAAAGGATTGATTTACTTCAAGTAGAATCCCCTTTATTGGAATCAATGTATTAATGGCCCCAGTTCCCTCTAGCTTACTCTGTTGGGTTTTTTTAAGGTTCAGGGGACATGATTCAAGAAAGGTTGAAAACCCGTCTTAAACCGAGCATCAATCCCTCTGCCCCAGGGAACCTGCCAAGGACCGCCAGCCGCTACAGCGCTTCCTGAGTGTGCATTCAATCTGTCCCCAAATCATGGGCTTAGAGAGGCTAGCAAAGCCCAAAGGGGTCAGGGTTAGCGCTGGGAAAGGGGTTTGGACGTCATGCTTGTATAGAGAAGGAGGTGAGCGGGCCTTGTGTCTGCTGCAGCGTTGGCCCCTCCAGCTGGCAGCTCCCCCCAGTCCCTGCCCTGCCTGCGTTTAGAGGGGAGCTGATAGGCTTGGTTAACAAAGCAAGAGCAGCTCTGGGTGAGAAGCTGAGAGGGACCCACTAGTCATACGGACTCACAGCACAGACATGGTCGCAGCTGGAGCACCACATACCTGCCAAGACCTGAGCGTTGGGTCCAGTACTGGCCTTGCAAGGACTGAGGACAACCCCAGCAGCTAGAGCCAGGAGTCCGACTGCACTGCCAGCCAGGGGAGTCCTGCACAGGAAATGCTGGGGGCAGGCAGTTGTCTAGACTCAGCACTGCTCTATAGGATAGCTGGGTCATACTAGAAGGTCCATATCCACATCTGGATCTGTGCCCATGGTACATGGCCCCATATGGCTCAGGGCCCAAGGCACGTGGCCACATATTTTAGGCCCCATATCTGCTCTTGCCATCATCAGGTCTTACCCCTTGAAAGTCTCATGGGATCCCACGCTTGAGTCCTGGCAGGTAAGTGACCAGAGAATGGATTTGCACATCCCACCTCCACCCCATCCTCAGCACTGGCCATTGTTAAGGATGCACAGCCCCAGCCCAACTTAGGATCTGAAATGGGCCCTGGCTGGCAGTTCCCTGGCAATGAGCTTAGGCTCCCTCCTCATCCCCCCACCCCGGCGCTGGCTGGGTAGGGAGGAAGCCTGAGCATTGATGCCTGTAGCAGGCACCTGGCATTAGCGCCACAGGGTGGTGCAGGGACGGCGTTACTGAAGGCAACAACATACAAGGAACTCATTGGCCAGACCCTCCCCTCCTCTTGGCCAGAAATCCAGTGGTCTCTCCCCCAACGATAAATCCTCAGCAGGCTAGTAAATGAAGAGGCTCCTGGCCAGCTCCCCAGCAGCCCCCGTCATGTCACAGTTCAGTCTTCACCTTGTGCATCAAGTCCTTCTGGTCAATCTTCTCCAGGTCCTGGTACCACCGGTTGTACGCCAGGAGCGCCACGTTCTTAGCTGCCACGGAAGCCATTTCCATGGAGCTGGCCACCCACTCCACACTGTTGAGGTAGAAGAGGTTGTCGTGGAGGATGATGGGCGGGATACTCTTGGTAGAGTCATAGTGGGGGTAAGCCTGCCATTCCGTCACCTGGACTGAATAGTAGGAGCGGAAGAGGGTCTTCAGCTGTTGCTTGTCCAGGGGCTGCTGGGAGAGGACCCGCCAGATGGCAGCCTCCTGGGGCTGCTTGCGCCGGAAGGCGCCTGAGATGTTGACGGGGCAGATGTTGTCCATGGCGTTGAAGAAGAGGTCGGGGGAGTCAGTGGTGAGGATGCTAGCGAAGGGGAAAAGCTTGGGGTCAGGGAAGCCGAAGTAGGAGGAGTTGAGGTAGCCGTGGACGACGGAGGTGATGGTGGGATGGAAGGAGCCTGGGAAGTCAGTGATGTGGGGGTCAAAGTTCTCAAAGGTGATGTTGCTCCTGCCGGAATGCAGCGGCGTGGCGATAACCACCATGTCATAAAAGGCCGAGCCTTGGCCTTCGTCATCCTCGTAGCGCACCTGGTACAGGGCTTTCCCATCTGCAAAGGGACAGCACGGAGACTCAGTACAGCCACCAGCCCAAGGCCCAGAGCATTGTTTGCCAACAGCATTGGAGTCACCACTCAGGAAGGTGGGGGCACCGAGAGCACAAGCCATAGCCAGGCAAAGCATTAGGCACACTCCCCCCTCTCCATCCTGCCCTGCAGCCCACCTCAGCTCTGCCCTGCAGCTCCCGGCTATTCCAGTCCAGCCCCCCCGGACTCCCACTGTATCTCACTATTAAACTGCAACATCCCTCCCCCGCCCCCCATGTCCCCATTCCAGTCCTGGGGAGTCACCTGGCAGATGGCAGAGCTGTCGGGCAACACAGGGTCACTGAGTAAAGGAGAAACTGCGGCTGATCAATAAACATTCCCTTTCCCATGGCAGCAGATGGGGATGGGGCAACAGTCTCCCTCCCCAGCACAGACTGGAGAAACGCCGGCTGCCACAGAGATGCCAGAGCTCTCCAGTATTTCAGCGCAGAGCTTTGGATCCACACGCTGGCCTCACTGCACCCTCTGGTGTGAGAGGTCTGAACTGCAGTCTCCCATTTCACATGTCTCCCTTGCCATACACCTGTCCAGCCACACCCAGCTCGGTCTGGTTCAACAGACAGCCACAGCCAAAAGAAGGGCACCAGTGAAGTAGTAGGTCGTGCCAAAAAACCAGGTGGGAGTCAGAGCAGAGTCTCACCCAACAGGCCAGGCTGATTGTCACACTGGCAGAGCAGCTCACCTGTGTATGAACTAGAGGCATTACAATTGTATCAGGACAATTCACTTATATGTGAATTACAAAGGGTACATCTTCACTACCCGACGGATCGGCGGGTAGTAATCGATCCCC